CTTGCAGACTTAACCACCTCCTCAAATTTCTCCAAACTTTCTTCAATAGAACAGTTAATATTCTTCTTGCTAAAGGATTCAGATGCAGCACCAAAAACTGATACCTCAGAGGCTCCAGCAGCAACCTGAAAAATATAATTTAGAGGAAAAAGCTAATAATTTCAAAAACGTAAATGATAGTAGAAGAAACATTAACTACTCTATAAAGACATAGTTGCATTAACATTTGCCTTAGAATTTAAAATTAGATTCCTCTCATCCTGCCATAAACCATCTTTTGAAATGTAAAAGTTTTTATAACAGCAAATAATTCCATAAACTGTAACACTCATAAATCTATGAGGCACATGCAACAGTGATGATGTTCCAATTTAATTTGCCTTTCCTAAATTACATGTTATCAAAGGTATATGTTAACCTTAATTATGGAAAATACTAGCACCCAATGAAACCTCTTAATATATATATGTGGAAAACATTAGTTTAGACCAATTATTAAAATACAGGATAGTAACTGCTGTTTTTATTCTCTTCTTATAATCCAACAGAAATGTGTTTCAAAACCACCATCTGGATTTTGCCCCCAATTTTCCTCCTACCTCTTAACCTAGTTCCCATTGTTTCATACCTTCACTGTTACGACCATACTCTTGATTGTCTAATGCCTTCATCCTTTTGCCAGCCCTTAAATCCAAAATATTAACCTAATTAATTTTCCCTTTTGCCCCTTTTGCCATCTTACCCCACCCTCAAGGCTTCTTCAGTGACTTGTAACAACTATCAAACCTCCTACTTTTCCAGATGGATTTTTAAGACTCTCTATCAATGCACCTCTAGCACTTTGCCTAGATTCCCCCCTCTCTCTCTGATGTCCCATTAATTTATTAAGACAAAAAAATGTCATCTTACCTCCAACATTTAAAAAAAATGGCTTCTACTCCTCCATAATAGTAAATTTTAACCTGTATAATGAAAATTCTATTTATGAATACCTACTATACGACAGTAGTGTGTTAGTATTTTGCATGCCCCATTCTGAATCCACAATTTTGTAAACTATTATTGTTTTGCAGATGAGAGAAAAGCCAAAATCAAAAGATGGCTGCATTTGGATAATTCAATATTAATCAACCAAAAGAGGCTAAATTACTACCATAAGGTTGCAAAACTAGTAAAAGTTGTGGGGCCATGTTTTGGGCCCAGACTTGCCTGACTTCCAAGCCAGTATTTGTTCAACACCATTACCTGCCCTTCTAAGCCACCATGAAGGTGTCTTCTGTTAGCACCTTTTTCAAGGTGGATACATTTCCTACTTTGTTAAGACCAGATGATAGCAATATTTAAAATTTCTTAAAATGCTGCTTTCTGTTTTTGCAGCACCATAAAAAATCTTACCAAATCAAGCAAAAGAAAAGTGGTTTTAACAATATACATTAACAGGGAATATATCAACTAGAACCCACAACTTCAACTTTATGCAACACAGTCCCAAATACAAAAGTGAACATATTAATACCAGAATTAGCTGCTGCAAAATTTTTAGAACAGAGCCATGTAAGCATAACAATTCAAGCCTTTACTTAAAAATGCATTCTTCTTATATGTGCAGTAATTAAAGCCTTTTTCAGATAAATCCCTAAGTCATATGCGATTGGAAGAAACAAGCCATAGGCAGTTCCAAATAGAGGCAGTTCCAAAGCAGTGATTAGCACCTAGAGGGAGGGAACAACAACAGAAAGCTGACCCAAAAAACTGACAGGAATAATTATCCACTACAATATTAATAATTATATATTGAAAAATGTTTAAATTATATTATGTATTTCTTATTTAAGAGGGAAGCATGAAATATACTTTCAGAAGAATTTTATCAAAATGGGTAATTCTATCTTTGTGTTTTGATTCTTGAATGGTTAAACTGGAAGAGCCTGAACACAGAACACTGTAAGGTTATTACTGATCTCTGTGCATCCATGTGAGTATATCAGCATAGCATTTATGCAGAGTAACAAGTGAGTTACATATGGCACAGTTTTAACTTTGTAAAAGTCTTTAAAACAATAAGAAGCATATTAGTTTTAGGAAAATTAGTAGCACACTTACAGCACGGTGGAAACCCGGAAGATTAGGAGTAAGGACAGGATATCGAACTCCTGGATACTTATGAATGCCTTTCATCACTTCAGTGTGATCAGCCATCTTAAACACATTAACAGTTACACATAAATATGTACCTTTAAATATTGTGTCAAGATGTTTTTAGTTTTTTCAGGAAGGTTATATTTACAGATGCAATTATATTCTACAAAGTACTGTTTGAAATAATAAAACTAAACCAATGTAGCTAAACATAAGTAGTTTTTAATGTCAAGAATACATGATAACCAGATCTGGGTTTAGTTCACATACCAGGATCTGGTTAAATGGGTTACAAATAATCAGGAATTTTGAACTGTATTATTTTCACTTGACTGGTCTTCATTCTCTTCTTTTAATTTCATGGCCCAATCCACAAATAACCCTGAGATTAGGGTGACTATGAAAGGCAACATGCTATGCATTTACCTTCCACATGAAAATTTTCTGTCCAAATAATTTACAGTGTTTGGAATTTTATAGTGTTTAGTAAAATGTAATTACAGGTCTCTGTTAGAATTATTTATCAAGGCTGAGATCCAGTACATTCTTTGATTAGCACAGATATTTTAGTTTAGTAAAAGTTAGTAATTGTTAGTAATAGTCAAAATTATTTAAGCAATACTATTATCATATTACTATTTGTTCTCATGATGCAAATAAATGAATACAATGGAGTACACAAATTTAACCCATTCTGCCAAGACTTTATTTTTCTGTATTTTTTATGAATCTATAAAAAATCAACTTTAAATTAAAATACCAAATTTACTAGTTTGGCACAAAGCCTGTAAATTATCCTCCTGTAGCAATAACCGATGATCAAATCCTATAATTATCACAAAGAGAAATTACCATTGACATTACCATGTGCTTTGCGTATTTCAGAATAACAAATTATGGCATGAACAATAAACATAAGGAAAAATGCATAAACAATGAAGTGTAAAAACTGAGCATGGAGAAAGCTATAAAAACATACAGCAACCCAAAATCTGTACCTTCAATATGGGAATGGATGAGGGAAGACGTGTTTTGTCTCTATACATCTTGGCTTGTTATAGCCAATAAGCATGTATTTTTTTTAATTTTAAAATAATACAAAAGTGAATAACTAAATTATAAATTCTTAATATAACCCCATTGAAAATTATGGAATATTACAATATTTACCCTTATTGGTCCACTGGTCTTATTAACCCCCAGTTAAATGCCAATATAATTCAGTATTTTCAATGAATATAATGCAGATTAAACAAATTTTAAATGTTAAATTTAAAATTAAATATTTAAGATGCAAAAGAGTACCTCCCATTGTCTTCAAGCATTACTGGCATTTAAGCTTTCATGTTTCATTCAATCCAAGCACATTTATTTTTGCCTAAAATGTGATTCTTGCTCGTCTATTTCTTAGAGATCACAACTACTATCTCCCATTCCCCAGCTGCATCCTTTACAAAGACTATCCACCAAAGCATCCATCAATAGATGAATGGACAAAAAAGATATGGCACATATACACAGTGAAATACTATTCAGGCATGAAAAAGAAATCCTTCCATTTGCAACAGCATGGATGGATCTAGCACAGTGAAATGAGCCAGGCAGAGAAAGACAAATACCATATGATTTCATTTATTTGTGAAATATAAACACAAAGTAAAATAGAATGAACAAACCAGCAGTAGACTCATAGACACTGAGAAGTGACTGGTGGTTACCATGGGGGAAGGATTGGGGTGGGTGGGTGAGGAGGTGAGGGGGATACAGGGGCACAAAAATTCTCAATCATAATGTAAGTTGGTCACAGGGACAGTAGTACAGCATGGAGAATATAGTCAGTGATTCTGTAACATCTTTCTATGTTGACAGATAGTAATTGCACTAGTGGGGGTGAAGATTCAATAATATGGGCAACAGTTGAACCACTGTGTTGTATACTTGAAACCTATATAAGATTGTATATCAACAATACTTCAAAAAAATAAAAAGACTATCCACCACCACACTCATCTACAATGCACACACACAAAGTCTCTCATTTCATTCTAAGCCTATTAGACTTTAATCCAGAAATTTATTGAGTACCTACTATGTCGAAAGCCCTACACTATGCCCTTTGGGAGATACATATACAGCAAAGTAAGGTCCTTGCTGAATAATTTGCAGCATGGTTTGGGAGGCAAAAACACATGCCCATGGAAAGTTAACAATTCAAAGGAATACACCAGTCATCAATGAGAGCACAGGTTATAAGAGGTCAGAGTGAGGAAAGCCTGTAACTGTCTGGGAAGGTTTAAAAGCGTACTGGATACAAACATGGTCCCTGAATAGGGTATATTAAAATTTCCCCCAAAATGGCCACAGCAGTATTTCCAATTTTGTATGCTCTTCCAGAACCTCACCAATTCCCATCAGGAGAGGTGGACTCTATTTACCTTCCTCTTGAAAGTGGGCAGAATGAGATTGCTCCAACCAAGAGTGTAACAGAAATAATAATACGTGACTTCTGAGGCTGGGTTATAGAACAGGATACAGCTTCCAAGTACCTTTCTCTTTGAGGAAGCTGCTGTGGAAACAACTAGCTTATGTTAGGGAGGCTATGTAAAGAGACTCACATGGAGAGACCCATGTGAAGAGGAACTGAGGTCCCCAGCCAACAGCCAGCATCACTCCCAAAGTCTGTGTTTGAAAGAGACTTCAGGATCCAGCATTCAAGTCACCCAGAGGAAGGTCCAGACATTGTGGACCACCTGTCTGCCTGTAACCTGTTCAAGTGCCGAGCCTCAGATTTCATGAGCATGGCAAATGTTTACTTACACCATCAAGTTCTCAGGTAATTCATTACACAGCTATAAAAGCTTAAACACTAAAAATATCAACAGGGTTAGAAAAGAGGGAAGGATGAAAATCCTCCACCACTAAGAACACAGTACCTGGCTATAGAGGAAAGTATTGATAAATAATCAGAGAAAAAATTATAAATGAA